CTCGAGTCCCGCAAAGGTCATTGTTGTTGTCAATGTTGTTGTTGTTGTTGCTGTTGTTGCTGTTGATGTGGTTGCTGTTGTCGTCGTTGTTGTTGTTGTTGTTGTTGGAGGTGGCGGTGGTGTTGTCGTTGGTGTTGCTGCTGTTGTTGCTGTTGTTGTTGTTGTTGCCAGTGCTCTTGCAACCATCTCAGTCGCCATCTATCAACACTCGCTGCTGCTGCAGTTGTGGAAGCCACCTTTTGTGCAGCTGCGCTGCAGCCTTTTGTGCAGCTGCTGCTGCTTCTTCTGCTGCTGTTGCACCTGCTGTCGCTGTGACTTTGCCTGTCGCTGCTCATGTTGTTTTGTTGCTGCTGGTGGTGATGATGATGAAAAAGAAAAAGAAGAAGATGATCGTGCTGGTGATACTAACAGGGTTGGGAATCCGTGCAGTCTCGGTGGCTGTGGCTATGACCAAGACTTCAAGATGCTGGTGGCCATGTCATGACTCTCATGACTGCTCAAACTTCTCTTGCCTGGTGTTCAGGTGCAAGTCTTCTGGTCTCCGCTTTGCTTGCGAAGGGACCGCTGCTTGGAAACAATCACAAGCAACTCATGCTGTCAAGGCGCAGTCGCTGCAGGACACCGACCTCCATTGAAGATGCAAAGCTCGTAACTCACTTATGCTCCGCGAGAAATGCTTGCAGAGTTGCAGTTGTGTCACTATAGCATAGGATATGCGGCCACACGCGTTGCACCAAACGCATTGCCTCCTTGTGGGACTCTTCCAAAGCTGTGGCAGTGAGGATGCTAAGGTCCACCTGCTTGATCACCTGTTCGCAAAAGCAACGGCCGAGACGCTTCAAAGCGCTAAACCAGGGAAGTTCACAGAGACGCTGCGCATTGTATGGAGTCTCCGGAGGACTCGGTTTGGCTCCGGGACTTCCGAACCGGGAAGTATAGGTAGGCCAGGTGGGGGCTTCGGCTTCGGACACTCGGATCTGGGCCCCTCGCTCGGAGGGCGCCACCTGCAGCGCTCGGGCTTCGAGAAAGAAGCAGACGGCGAAGACTTGAAGGCCGCGGTGTAGAACCCTACTGTATGGTTTCGCCTTTGCAGCCTTTGGGGTTTGGTGATTTGGTGTTTCGGCGGTCGTAGAATCCGCCAAAACGTGCACGAGGTGACGCCCACCTTCCCCTTCAGCACGGGATTTCACCAGCGTGGCGACGCCTCAGGAGCGGCAAAGGGTGGGGCAGTTGTGGCAAGTTCTCGACCTTGACTACAGGACTTCGAGCAGAGCCGCCCCAAGCAACTACGCGCGCATTACTCCCTAAAGTTCCTGACTTTAAACGTACTATATTCTACCCCAAAAGCATATTCTAACGATTAAGGCCCCTAGACTTGTTTGCGTAAGGGTCTCGGGCGGTTTGACTTCGTGTCTAAAGGGAGTTGGTCCAGGTTTACCAGCGCAGCCACACTTTACGTGTGAGGTACACACTACAACAGTACTTTGGTGCTCTTGACTACGCCCCATTCCTGGCCTGGCCCTTTCTGAAAGCCATGGACTGCACACGTCCCGCCAGGAACGAACACCACAGCAACGACCTTCTCCCAGAGCATCGACCCCGACCCCAATGCATTCTGTTTCCAAGAACAACCACGAAATGGAGAGAGGCCCTCTTCCTGCGGTGAGTCTGGGCTCGTGGCCGAAAGCACCACCTTTGCTCGGAGCTTCTTCTTTGTCTGAAATTTTGGGTGGCCCATAGGAGGTTTGGCTGGATGTTCCACGCTGAAGAGTGCCTGCAGCATTCGGCTGTCCCTTCAAACAAGTAGCCCTACTCACGAACCCACCGGCAAAGTCCGATTGTAAACCCTGGACCCTAAGAAGCGAAAGACGCTTGGACAACTTCGACGAGCGGCGTCCCAAGGTCTTGACCTGCGCATTCGATGAAACTGCCCTCGCATCAAAGATCCGCAGCGCTCCCCAAGCCCTTCTTTTTGCCTTCGGTCTCCATGGATGCTTCAGGTAAAACCCCCTTTTGCAACTGGCTTGCAACGTCACGCCAGGAAACCCCAAGCCCAAAGCCCCCATCCTTGATGAAACCTGAGGATCCCCGATCTCCCACTGCACTACCTCCTCGTAGTTTTCCAGAGGGTCATCAGCCCTGGCGGGCGTAGGGAAGAGAGGTGCCTCTATGCTTTTGAACAGCAGCTGAGGCCTGACATCCTAGGGGTGTTTCATGCTCCGGCATAGTAGAGATTCTCGCGCACTATGTTTTGCATGCCTGTGCTTGGGAGAAACCCTGTCAGTTCGCATTCAGCCGCTTTTATTGCCGAAATGTGGAAACAAGTGAAGCCGCCCTGCACTGGGCCCCCGACGTTCCAGAGCCCTCGCGGGCGATCGTGGCCATAATCAAGCAAGTCAACCCCTAAATCACCAGAAGTGCAAGATCTGATATTGCTGTAGTCAGACTAGCTGCATGGCTGCGCACATGACGACTAGAAATCTTGGATGGCTTCCACGGTATACAGTATCGAAGCTGCCCCGTGCCGTCACATTGCCCCACATCCCCGAGCTGCACTGAGGCTGGGAAGCGCAAGACGAAGTCTCGAACAGACCGTGCTCTAAGTTGCAGGATTGGCTAGGACGCTAGGACATGCGCATGTGAGGCTCAAGGTCGGGAGATTTCTGTTGGTTCCGGGATGGTCAACGATGCTCTTAGATGGGCCACCTTGTGGGACCCTCCCTGGGAGGGCCTCCCAGTTTAGGCTGTAAGGCTTGGCAAGACCAAAGTGTTGTAAGCAGGGGGCATGGGGCTTCGTCAAGTTTGTGGGCGAAAGCGCTGTCCAACCCATTTTACCGACGCCGCCAGTTCCATGGCATCCGCAGCTTCATCTGCAGCAGGGGCGGCGAGAAGAAGCCGCAGGCTGCGAGAGCACGGCGTGTCTCTTTCTTCATTTGCTTTGTGCCCACCACAAGGAAGCCAGCACTCCGAGGGAATGTCTCAAAGGTAGACTGCAGGAGGGACTGGTCGATGCGGGATCGCACACAACCTTCGCAGTCCTCTCTCGAAAGAGCGTAGACTAACTTGAACCTGCCTGCATATTGCCGCACCATCTCTTGCAGATCTTCCTGCCAGAAAACGTCCTTCCAGGATCTGTTGCCCCAGAGCAAAACCACTTGTTCCACGCTATCGAAGGGTTTCGCCAGCTGCGACAAAGCCACGGGTAAAGCTTCCGTGATGCCCACACCAAAGGCGATCAGTCCCACATGCTGCTGTTGCTTTAAGGTGTAGGCAAGCCAGGGCACAGGAGCGGGGCCGGAGATCATGGCCTGGTCTCCCACCGACAAGCTGTCCTTTCACTGGCCCCCTGAAACCAGGTTATCCGATATAACCGCAAACCTAGGCAAACCTCAAAGCGCTCTTACAGCACATCCTAGCATCCAGGTGCCCGGAGCACCGCCCCCCAGGGTAGATCTTCACCACCAGGTCCTTGGCTGAAGTCAGCAATGTCGAAGCCTGAAGCTACCCGAGCGCACATGCTTGCGCTGCCGGCCCAAACAGATGAAGCACTGAAGCAGAAACTCTGCCTCCCAGATTCGAAGCTCCCGGTGCGCTGCACCGGCGAGGCAGGCGAGTAGGACCGCACTCTCCCGGCCGGCGGCCGCACCTGCCATCACAGCAGTCAGGAGTCGGATCTCTCGTTGCAGAACACTCAGAGCTAAGCAAAATGACATGTATTCTTGTTAATTAGTAGTACTAAAATGTTTCTTATCATTGTCATGATTAGCATTATTACTTGAGGGTTCGGGCCCACCTGGGAGTGGAACTCCCGGCTTAGGGAGAGGATAACCATTCGCAGAAGGGCTCCGACATATTTCAATGTTTCGGCCCAGGGTTATAGGCTTTAGACTTGTTTTTGCTGTTTACACCGCGTCTCCGCGTTCGAACACCCGGGAAAGCCGGGAAAGGCCTGTCGGCCGGGCCGCATGGTCCCACCCAGGCATGCACAGGGCTGGAGACAAACCCCAATCTAGATCCTGTATAGGCGACAAGGGCTAGGACAACTGTTCATCCTCTCTGCAAGTGCACCAGTTGCTGCGCGAGGACCTGCTCCGCTGGAAAGGGTTTACACTCTCGCAACTCGGAGCTAAGCCAGACGAGGTCCGTCGGTCCGGGACACGCTACAGGTGGGGCTCAGGTCGACACCACGAGAGACAGGCCCACGAACTAGGACAGAAAAGGGACAGACCTGAGCCCAGACTAGACTGCAACTCATCGATCGGCATATCTTCGAGGAGCCATCATGCAAACTCTACCAAAGGTTTAGGCTTAAGGGAGGCTACAGTCTACAGTGACCACGCTTACCCCAGAAAGGGCGCATCTGGGCCAACTGCCAAACCCCACTTCGAGAAGGATCTCCCCTCATCGCCCTCAGCTCTCAAGCATCCCTAAACCGACAAAGCTGCCTTCACCGAACCGTTTCTATCAGAAAAGGTTCTAGAACCTCCCGAAGCCTCCCCAAAAACCCAACCTAAACTCGAAACCCCAAAGCCCCAAAACCTTAAACCCCTTAAACGGCCCTAAACCCTACGGTCGTGCAGCGCCTGCACAAAGTCACCGAGGCCCAAGTCGAAGCCCAAAGTCTGCAAGGAACAGTCCGAAGGCAGCTCGAAAGTGAAGCGGCGCACCTCACTCTTCAGCTAACTTTTTTTTTGAAGGCCATTTTTCCGTCCGCTAGAGTACCAGCATAAGGAATCTGCCTTGGCAGAAGGCGTTACGTTGTGCCTGGTAGCTCTCAGAAATTTTAGGGTTTAGGGGATTGCCATCACGGCTGCTATGAGGGTGCTGCAGATTACTCTGATGGTTGCTACAAGAGCTCTGTGCAAGGCGTGAATGGCAGCCCGCATCTGTTTGTCCAATGGCTTCGCGGCTAGGACAGGACGAGGCCCGCATAGCAGGGAGGTACAAGAGAGCCCGCACGCTGCGACGATCGACGACCGACTACAGTAAACTATTCCGTTAGGCTGGTCAGCGCGAAACTACGATGCTACAGGGTTGGATGTAGGTGGTGGCTTTTTCGCCTACGCTCGGACATACTGGGCAAGGTCTGCAGACAAGGCGACGAAGTGAACTCAGCAGGAGCCTTGTTTTGTGTCTTCGACTCTCACGCTCGCGCAAGGCAGGTAAGGCTCCAGGTCCGATCTAGTGAACGACTGAGAACGATGGGTTTGGGGCTCTTCTGGATTCTTTTTGAGGCAAGAGTGTTTGTGGTGGGGCACCTGAAGCCAAACAGAACCGACTTTCGCTTCAAAACGTCGTGGTTTCTACCCGAGCTGCACTGTCGTAGCATGCCATACATCTCAACCAGCCCCACTTAGCCAACCGACCTTACCTGAGTACCGACGCATCGGCCGTTCGATAATTCGATGAGTTTCGCCTCCAGATCATGTTAATCCACCGCGAACGTCAACTAAGGGGCGGGGAAGCCATCTTCGCCACCTTCGCTCAGTGTCTCTTTGGCCAGCAATTGAAACGGACGAAATTGCCTGACAGGCTGGGCGTGCTGGAAAGCTAGGCCGCTGTGCCAGTTCGACAGCTTTTTTTGCAGCCCCGCTACAGCTCAGACCGGTCCGATAGCAAGTCTTACCGATGCATTCGGAGAGTCTTGACCGGAAGCCTGAAGTGTGACTCTAACTTGGGTTGCACGTCATGCCTTTAAAGCATCTAGCCGACACAATACATGCGATTTGAATTCAACTGCCGCATTTAGGGCCCAAAGACAAGCTGCCTCAATGGCTTCATGGCCGCCGGCAGTCAAGAAGCTTTGTCAGGCCCCTACGCTTCTGCTTTGATAGCATCACTTCTGACTTCGAAAGTGAAGAACTAGAACTGTCGGAGCATGATTCTGTGCTGCATACCGTCAGTACTCATGTCAGAGCCGCAAACTGTCCCACGGTGTGACAGTGACAACGACTGCTGTGGCCTGTCGCTTCTTAGCAAAAGCTTGATAGCCAGACAGCTGCACCTAAATGCTATATTGAAGCAGGGCTACACAGCCATGCCTGCCCCTGCATACTCAGAGTGCCTGTCTACGGCGAGGACAAGGAAGAAAGGTCAAGGACAAGGACGATGACCATGCTGGTGCTGATGCTGATGCTGATGTTATGCTGGAGCTGCTAACGAAGCTTACTGGACCTCGCAGCTTTCTTCATTCTTCGTGTCTTTGAGAAGCCACACAGCGCATTAGAGCTGAGTGGTTGTATGGCAGCAAGGTAAAGGGCACAACGAAACTCAAACCTGAAAGCATGCTAACAGAGGGTATCAATGTATCACATCGGTAGGGAAGTCTGTCGGGCCGTTGAGGCTGGTGCTAACTCATGCCTGCAACTGGGGAGGAACGATCAAGACATATTATAAGAAGGATGCAGGACCCGAACCACCTGTTGATGAAGCTTTTTCTTGCTTAGCGCTGGCACACGGGCGAAGCTCACACCTGGTTCAGAATGTGTTGGTTGAGGTTTTTCCCACCCTCAGGTTTAGGGCTGACGGCTTGAGTTGGTTTGAAGGTGATTCGGATTGAGTAGGGACTAGGGCTTCAGGTTGGGGTTGTCACGGGGTCGCTTGAGGCCTCTTGGCGACAACAGGGTAGAAGCAGGCCATTGCGCTTAGGTCTGATGGTGGTTCTTCGATCGCGGTCACCTGGTGAGTGGCCCGATAAGGGAGTATCTCCCACACAAGCAAGCGCTGTCCGAGGTCTGCTGCCCCAACTAGCAGCCCTGTGCCCATAGTAGCAACAATAGCAAAAATAGCAACAATACAAAAGTACCAATCATAATACTTAGCAAAAAATAATGAAACCCATGAACCGCAAGAGCTAAGAGTCGAGCCGGTCACTGCAGTCAGCCCTTCTCGGTGGACCTTAGGCCGAAGGGTGCTGCGCATCCAGGCTCAGGAAACGCTGAGTTCAAGCTGCAACAAGGAATCGGAACCAGCAGCCCTTCTGCCATGGCCAGAGAAAGGAGCTGAAATGCAAAAGAGCTGTAGAGTCAGCCGATGTAGAAAACCGACCGACTTTGGGTCAGCAATCTACGAAGGGAACCTGACATGTCGCGTGCGCGAACATTTCAACAGTAGGAACCTGACACAAAGGGTCGGGTACCTTCGGATATCTATCCTTCACAAACTCTAACGGCCCTCAGTTATGCCCTTGATAGGCACAGGTCTGATGTCCTTCGTAGCTTTCGGTTGGGAACTTTTTTGGTCACCGGTCGGCCTGATGTGATTCTCCTGCATGTTGCCTTTCTTCAATAGTGAGTTCTGCTTCTTCACCTTTTCGTTCTCTTCTTGCAGCTTTTGCTTCTCCTTCTGCAACTGTTCCTTGTCTGCTTGAAGCTTGACATGCTGCTCCTGCATGTTTGCCCTCTGTTTCAACGAGACTTTCCTCTTCACCTCTTCGTTCTCCTTGCTGCGCTCGATGTCTTGCTCGGCCTTCTGAATGATGTGCTCCATGCCCGAAATCCAAGCAAACTTCTTGACCTCGGTACCTACGCCGTGAAGCTCCTCCCAGCCACCGTCGCATCCACACTCCGTACTTTGAATCTGAGTCACAAGCGCGTCCTTGGCAAGCTGGAGGTCGGGAAACTTCACTTCTAATGGCTTCTCGACCTGAGCGGCCTTGCTGACTATGCCAGCCAACTTCAAAAAATCGGCCTCCTTCTTCAGAAAGCCCTTCTCGCTCCCGAAATCTCTCTCCTTTGCCTTGGCTATGAACCAAGCAGTCATGGCTTCCCAGTGTCTTCCACTGATATCTGCCTTGCAATACCGCTCGAAGTCCTCGGCATCGAACTTGCTGTTCCACATGTCAATCAACTTCTTCACGTTCTTGTCAAACTGCTCGGTCTCTGCGTCATCCTGCGACTTGGTAAAGAGCTCGGTGGTGTCGATGGCTTTAAGCAGCTTCTTGAAATCTTCTGGGTTCTTGCCGCTCCTTTCCAGTAGGCCTGGCCTAGTTGCAGGAGGATCTCAAGCCGACGCTGCTGCAACTCCTCTTCGGCTGCGACCCGGCAAGCAAAGCCTCTAGCGCACATGCCCGAAAGGAAAACCACAAACTTTAGGTTGAGTTGAGGGTCTTCGCCAATCTGATCGTGGGGTTTCCCCTGTTCTTTGGATGTCGGTGTCGCCAAGATTTCAAGCACACGCCGCACATGCTTCGGCTCCGCAAGCATCTTTTGTGGGGTGACCTTCTTTCCCTGCAAGACCTGCTCCAACTGTCCCACCACAAATCGGCGGCCTTCTAGATCTGAGAGGCTGGCCTTGAGATTCACGCAGGTCTGGAAGAAAAACCCCAAGCCAGCTTCATCTGTACCCGCCTCAATGCTCGACTTTCTGATGACTGCCTTGACCTTCTGTCGGAGGTCGTCAGGGTTGGAGCAGATCAAGGCTTTCAGGAGACGCTTCTGAGGCTCCAGAAAGGGCTTCGCACTCCATCTCCTCCTGCAAGAGGGCGGGCTCTGCCAGGTGGCGCACAATGGGAAGTAGAAAGAATGAAAGGAGCGTGGAAGCCAAACAAACACGCAGTAGCAGAAGGTTTCCTTCAAGAGCTTTAACGACCGGTTCCGCGTCGGAAACCCAACAGTACCTTCGCAGTTGCAGGCTTTGCACACGGATTCCGAGAAACTCTTGATGGCCGTGTTTTGCTTCAATAAAACCGTATGAGACTTTCAAAACTTTGCTTTCGGAACGGCAAGAGGTACACACCGACAGCTGCAAGAAAAAACTCCACAAACCGCATTGCGTAGTACAAATCCACTTGCACTGTGAAGGGATTGCCCTTCTCCAACAAGGGGTTCATGCAGCACAGCACACTGAGAAAGGCTTTCGCGATGTCACCACCGCTCACCCAAATCCAGACGATAAGCACCAGGAAGTCCATCAGAACCTGAAGCATCGAGTTTAGATCTTCCGATGATGAACTCTTGGGGAGTTTGGAAATAGTGAGGCAAAAAAAAAAACGCATGCTGTGAAGCTTCGGGGCCAAACAAGGGCCCGCGGTCAGAAGGAAGCTCTTGCACAGAAACTGCAGAGGCTGCGGCCAGCTGTCCGCAAACTCAAGGGGAATCCAGCCGCGTGTGCACACGATGAACAAAGCGATGCTGGTGATCCTGGAGCTAACCTCGACAATCCGCATCACGAGCACGAGAAGCTTCACGGCATAGCTTCTGCTTGTGCCTGGCAGGTGATGCAGTCCCTCCGCAGAATCGAAGCCCATCAAAGCAAAACCCATGTTGCCAAAGGAGAACGCCAAAGAGAAGTAGACGATCTGCTCTTGTGTGAAGTTGAAGTAGGCGGTCTTTTGCAAGATCTCATGGTGGGCAAGAGCATGCGACTGCACCAGAGAAGAGATGGACGCTTCCATCAAGGCTTCCGCCAACCTGCTGCAATGAAGAAGCGGATGCTTCCCTTTCACCACAGGTGCCTGCTTGTCGAGCAATCTTTTTGGGGTGGTTCCGAAATGAGTGATCCTTTGGGGTCCCGAAATAAGGATCCTAGTGTTTGAGTGTAGTTGATGATAAGACTGACAAAGAAACAGTAACCATTACGTATGATTCCCAGATTTTCGCCAAAGCGTTCTTCTGTGAGGGTGGTTCGGATGGCATGATACGATAGATGCTGATATGAAGTCGTCTCTTATGTTGTCGTGACATGTCACAGCAGAACGATGCATAATGTGAGGTCGTCTGGCCCTCAGTTCGTCGTGAGGTTGCCTCGTAGTGCTTAATCTATAAACCCACCTAAACCTTTCTGTAGCTCAATATCTTACCACGCGCAGGGCAAGGCCAGCAGGAGTCGCTGTGCATCGTAAAAAGGCGCTGCGCATGTGGTGCCGTGACGATTCGTCCTCGGATGTGGCAAACCTCATCTGATCCACGAGTTCGGTCACGCGAAATGGCGCCGCGCATGTGGTGCCGTGACGATTTCGAATTGACAACCCTCTCTGAGGACGGTTTGTCGTCATGGCTCTGAATACGTGGGGCGGAAGTGCTGAAGGTAGTCGCGTGAGAGAAGCTTATACGACGGCGTGCAGAAGGGTTTACAGCAGGCTATATGGAAGGCTTGCAAGAAGTGGTTTTTTTGAAGGGATTCATGGAAAGGCGCATGGAAAAGGACAGGATTATGAGTTCGTAGAATCTTTAGACTCAGAGAAATTTGTGATAAGAGGGTCTGTAGACGGGCTTGTAGACGGCTGTTCAGACGGGTTCTTTCTCTACAGCAGTATATAGAAGTTTGGGGGGAGGTGATAAAAAGGGTATTGCAGAAGACTAGAAAGAAATGTTTATTGAGTTTATTGCAGGGACATAGACAAGTGTAGAAGGGTTCTTAAAAAGGTTTATGGAAGGAGTTTGAAAGGGTTTATAGTCCAGTCATGGGGCTGTGTTTGAAACGGTTTATAGTCCAGTCATGGGGCTGTGTGAACAGGTGGACGGATGAATGGATGGATGAGGGGCTGGTGGATGGAGAATGGGTGGATGCATGTGTGGACCGTACGGATAGATGGATCGTTTCAAACTTTCCTTGCTTTCTAGTGAAGCAGAAGTATTGGAGATCTGCCCGCCTCTTTACGCCAGGACGCCCAGGTCACTCCAGTGAGATACAGATAGTGCAAATTGAAAGGCACGAGGTACCCCGCTGTGAGAGCTTCCGACGCCTCTGCTCCTGCAGTATCCACTGCAAGCCGCATGTCAATAAAGGTGTACACATTGGAGAGCAAGATGCCAAGCAGATTCACAAGTCCAAACTGAAATTCATGAGAGCTCATGAAGAAAACAATCGCTTGCACGTCTAAAGCCAAGTCCAGGTAGAAGATGCAACACTTCCACACCAACTCGAGGTAGGGCTGCACCTCCTTGGATGCCCAGCTAAACAGCTCAGACGTCCGCGTTTGAAATTCGGAGGCTTGTCTGGATGCCCAGTCTCCGAGACTCGATGCCCATGTACGTGCGCAAAAGCTCGTCGGGTCCCCTCTGGTGCTGTCACGCTCGGACTCCTGGGATCCCGCTGCAGCGCAGCAACTGCGACAGCCTTCTTCGCATTGCAGCAAAGCCGCGGTTTCGCCAAGCATAAAGGCCCTCATGCAACACGTGCCGTCTATTCATCTCCAGGCTACATGCCTGCGGGGACAAGGCCGCTTGATCCAAGAGTTTTGTGGTCAAAACACCATGGGAAGGTTAATAAGAGTCTCCCTTCTCAAACCGTACCCACTGCATCCAAAAAGTGCTCGCGGGGACGTGGCAGCGTTGAGCAGCGAAGTGGTCGGCGGCTTGCCGCTGCGACGCCCGTTGAGCCATGCACTGGCATAGCGAGCGCGTGGAGGAGGTTTTCTTGTTTTTGCTGTCCACGCGGTCCCTGTGCAGGTCGCCCGAAACCAGGGCCAGACTACGGAGGCCACTCAGGGCATGCGGCTGGCAAGAGGAGGAGGGGCCGATTGTTCGGCAAGGAGGTCGCTGAGGAACGGAGGATCTCCGTCGACATTGGCTGCACCGGAAAGCGGCAGGGAGAGGCGAGAGGAGGAGCAGTGCGGACCACGAAGCACATAAGCAGATATGCATGCACTCTGTAGTAGCGGGGGTGCAGACCGGGAGGGGTGGGTCCGGAGGGGCGGCAGGGGCAGGAGCCGGCAAGCGGTCTTGGTGCGAGGCCGTCACCTCTTGTAGCAAAGAAGCCGCCGCCCGCTCTCCCAGGTACGCGTGCAGCAACGCCTCTTGGGCAGAGGCCGGGATATAGCCGTCCGGCAGTGCAGCAAATCGCCAGGCCCCAGATAAGTGCACGAGGGTGTTGCTTGGCAAGCGGTTGGACTCGGCAGCAGTGCGAGCAGCAGCTGCGCCTCCGTCGCAGGCAGTGCTCGCCCCTCTTCGGAAGCGAGCTGCTGCAATGTATGCAATGCGTGCACCAGGGCCTGTGGTTCGACTGGTGGTGCTTGGCGCAAGAGTCCATACAAAGGATGAGCTTCCCACCCGGCCAGTGCGGCAGGGTGAAGACGGCCGACGGCAGCATGTAGCAAGGGAACGAAAAGCCAGCTGCGTGTGCGTTGCAAGGCTGGTGCGTCGGGGGGGCCTTGGTTAAACCATGCGGCATCAGCAAGCGGAGCTGCGGCAGGTGTAGGAGCGGCCTGGGGCGCGGCAGCAGGCACGTCGGGTAGTGGAAGGCGTTGGCCAGGGCATGGCAGGACCTGTGGCGGGGAGCCTCGGCAACACACCCATCCTCGGCTGCACTCGCGCATGTCGACTGCGAGTCTGCGGGGCCCATGCGCCGGGCACACGCGGGGCTCTGGGACGGCTTGCAGGAGAGACGAAGACCGTGGCATTGCAGCGCATGCAGACCCACTCCGGTGCCCATTGGCCGCTTAAGCACAATGGGTGGGGGCCCAGTGCATATGGCGATCCGGCAGTTTTTGCCAAGCTGCATCAGATGCGGCTGCGCCGAGTCTGCTAAGAAAATGCGTGGGCAGCAAAACGGCAAGATGTGTTCGGGAGGGCGCGGTGCTGTGGCTTCATGGTAGCGGCGTGACGTGGTGTCGTGGTCAGGAGCTGGCTGTGGCGCACAAACACCGTGCACTCGGCAGGCTGTCCTGAAACTCTCCGCGGCCTCAGGCGGCCATGGGGCCATAGGGCCCGACAGGTTGGGCAACGCAAATCTCTGACATTCGTGGTAAGGTGAGCGACACATCCCCAAGTGCAATGCATGGCCGCAGCGTGGCCACAGGAACGGCGTCTCCGGGCCTTCAGGGCGCGCCGGAAACTCGCACACACAGACTGGCACGCTTCGGTAGACGGGCAGGCCGGCGGGGAAGAGGGTACGAAGTTGCCTACTGCGGCACGCGAGTGTGCGGGGGCAGGCGCCAGCCGCGTTGCATCCGGCGAGTAGTGAGGTGGCGTCTCAGCCGTACGGGACAGGGCACTAGAACCCAAGAACAACCTACACCCCACAAACGACAGAGAGGAACCCACACACAAGAACCAAACTCTACCCGCAGGGTCGCCCGGGCGGGACCGGGGGTCAATGCAGCAAAGGAAGTCGGTCTGGGCAGTTCGGCAAGCAGGGCAAGCAGGGAGTGCCCCCGTCAACTGAGCGAGCGGAGCGCTGGAAGGTGTCCCGAGGCAGGTACCGGACGCACTGTGGCGCGGCTGCTATGGCACTGCCAGAGTTCAGGCTCTTCGGCCTTTGCCGGGATTGCGCCCTATCCCACCCGTGCCGGTCAGCCGGCAAAGCCCTTCGTGTGTTGAGTTTTCGAGCCTGTGTGGAGCCAAGTAAAAGAAAGCAGGCCCGAAGGCTGGCCACGGCGGCACTAATTTGGTCCTTGAGCTACTTTGAGCCAATTTTTTTTTGAGCCAAAGTTGTCGGGGATCTGCGGAGAGCGGGCACGGATTGCTGGCAGTGCGTCGAGCCAAGAGGCCCAGTACGCGGCATGGCGGTCGGCGGATGCCGAGCACAGCCCAAGTCCGCCAAACCCGAAGCAAGCTGCGAGGCGTACTGCAACAGCTGGGAGTTGATCGACGCTTTGCGACATTGCAAAGCCTGCCATTCGGCCCACAAAACTCGCTCGACAACCGGCCAAAAGCCCTTCTGTGGCAGGTTCGGGGGGGTCCAGGTGGCGGCGGCGCGGAGGTCGGGGCCGTGGGGGACGCCGTCGCGTGCCTTCGAGCGCTCCGCCTGATGCGGAAGATGTGGACCCGCAGCTCGCAGCACAACAGCCCGCGCCCGAAACCACCACAACATCCCAGCGTCGGGTGCTCTCCGCTGAGGCGGCCCTCCAAGCAGGCCTGCAGACGCTTGATGCTGTAGATCTCGCGGCCACGCTTTGCAAGCGCATCCTCACAGTCCAAAGCGTCCCGGTGCAAGTACGCGCACTGCCTTCCGTGCGGGGCTCCAGCTCGTTGCGGATGACAGCTCCGCTGAGTCATCGTTGCGGGGTTGGAAGCTCTTTTAACTCGCCGTCCGCATGCTGCTGCACCGCGCCCCGGCCGAGCCCCGCATCCCCACCGCCGAACTCGAGCGCCGCTGTGAGTTGTTCCGTCGCGGTGAGTGGGCCCGGACGGAGGTCGAAGCACAAGCTTCGAGGGCCACCGCACTCGTCCACCTGGGTGAGCTGTCTGCCGCCGCGCTTCCCTTGCATCCGTTCCTCACATCTTTGCGGCCCGCTAGGCGAAGATCGGCCGCTGGAACGAACACGTGCGCATATTGCTCGACGACGAAACTGACCGCACACTCCTGCACCGCGCTGCCGAGCGGCTTGCGCGTGCTGAGGTGCCAGCACCGGTCGTCCCAGCCATCCGAGCCGGCCGCATAGTCGCTCTGCGCAAGCCCAACGGTCGCGTGCAGGCCCTTGTCGTCGGCGACGTGCTGCGGCGGCTACCCTGCGTGGGAGTTTGCATCCGAACTGCAAGCCGCTTGCATGCCTTTCCAGTTCGGCCTCACAGCACCCGTGCCGGCACAGAAACGCTTGTCCGCCTCCTCCGCTTCACCACGGAAATGGACGCTGTCCATCGATGCGATTGGCGCGTTTGATCATGTGTCGCGCCACGCGATGCTTACTGGCCTGAGGCAGCCGCTGCTGCCTTACGTGCGGCAATTCTTCGCGAGCACGCGTGCATTGAATTCGACCGCAGAGAAACCCGCATCTGGAACGCAGCGGGGGAGGAGCCCGCTGACATTTCCGACCTGCGCGGCCACGGCGAGGAACCCCCCATCTGGACAGGGGACTGGTCCCTGCCACGTGACCGCCAGGCCTTCTCGCTCGGCACGCCGCTGGGTACCGACGAGTACGTCCACGGCATCCTTGCCGCGCAGCGGGCAGAGCATCAACGCCTCCTCGCCCGGATCCCCGGTGATCCCCGAAGCCCCAGACCTGCAGGCGGCGTGGTTACTTCTGCACTATTGATCACTATTGTGCCGCCCAGTTCGCTGCGGACTGCGATGCCGCTATTGCGACCTGCCACATGCCCCTGCGCGACAACCCATTTTACAGGCGCGCGGCATGCGTGGCACACCCATCCCATTATAGGCGGCTGGTGGCCCACCGCGGTCACCGCCCTACTCGGCAGGCCGTACCCGTACCCGAGCTAGCGCACGCCGTCGAGCACGTTTGCCAAGCCTTCAACCCTTCGTCGCTGCGCCTCTCCCAGTCGCTCAGCCGATTCATGGAGTGGGCCGCCTTGCGACACGCACAAGTGACCTTGCTCGCCGAACTTGTCAGAACAATTCCTGATCCGCGGGATGGGCACTACCTCGCTGCCCCATTGCAAAAGGCGCTGCTCACCATGCTGCTGGGCACTTCTCCCGCTTCCACGCTCGAACGCCTGGTTGATAGCCTCCGGCGTATGCCCCCTGCACCGGCCACCGCGCCAAGCGCCGATGCTACTGCCGCAAACCGTGACGCAGCGGCACGGCCTGCGCCAGCCCCGAGCGCTGCCGTCCAAGGTCGCCGAGGCGACAACTCCCCTCACGACCCTCTCCCATCGGACGATGATGGGAACGCACAACGTGGCGACGATTTTGTCAGGTCCGCGGCAGCGCGCGTCGTCGAGGGAGAGCGCAGGGCCCGCAACGAGTCCCTCCAGGATGGGGGGTCGAATGTGGGCGGCAACTCCACGAAGAGCAGGAAATGCAGGCCGACCTGGGCAACATCCCTGGAGCTGGAAAGGGGGAACAGGCGAGATGCAAGCCGACTTGGGGGATGCGCCCCTGGAGATGGGAAGAAGGAGAGTGAGACAGGTGAGACAGCTGCGACAGGTGAGATAGGTGAGACAGGTGAGACAGGCCAGGTCGGTTTGCATGTCGAACGTAAGCTTGTCTCAGCCGTCTCTCCTGTCTCGGGGGGGGGGTCCGGGCCTGGTTCAGCTGTATAGTGAAACTGACGGCTCGCAACGCTTACGGGATGTGGTTTACAGGCCCGCCGACCTGGTCCGACCTGGTGATACAACACTGCCTACCCGTGTTGACGGCGGGCGACTAGGTGGAGGATGCCTATACCTGTGCACTTGGAGAAGCTGTGGACGAGGCACTGCTGGTCATGCTACACCCCGCTTCTCCCTAGAACATCACCCGGAAGCGTTTGTGGTGCTAGCCAGGAGGAGACGGCGGGAAATGAGGGCCCCCGAGTCCGCACGCCCTTGATCTCTTTGTCGGCCTGCGAGGGGGAAGACTGTTTTGACATTTTGCTAGCCCTTCGGGCATCCGTTAATCTTCCGGACTCTGCTTGCAGGCCATAGCCTCTCATCTATGCCATCGCTGCCCGCTTGCGCCTCTCAGCGAGAGCGATCACGGCACCGTCGCGCGACGCAGCAGAAGGCTGCGGGCGCCCATCCCGTGTCAGCGGGGACACGAGCGTGACGTCGCAGCACAAATGCACAAGGCTTCGCCGAGCGGGTTATAGCCCCGTACGCCACGACGTCGGGGCGGCGGCGATCAGCAGGATCGACGTCGGAACCCGATGTGCGTGCGAGCCATTGTTGCGGTACGACCTGGCTCTCAAGTCCGACAGCTTCGCAAGCAACGCGCACCCAGGCGGGCGAGCAGGCCAGTACGGGGACAAGCGGCATGGTTGTCACCGTAAGCATCGACTACTGCACCGCAGCCGTGGCCATGTTCGCCGCATCTGTGGGGCGACGGGCACAGCCGCCACCGCAAAGCTGTGAGCATGCGGCCGGGCGGCAGAGCAGTGCCAACCTCGCACGGGGTGGCGTTGAGCCAGGCTGCAGCGCGCGGCCCCGATTGCGAGCGGAGCATGGCCTGGGCGGGGGCTGGCAAAGCGCCAGCACCTCGGTTTCGCGGAAATGGGTAGAGCAAGCGCGTGAACCATGATGCTGCCAGCCCTGGCGCCCTTCGCCAGGCTCAGGCAGGTCGCATTGTGCGGGGCGGAGGTCGTTCAGCAGGTCACTCATGGGCGGCCTGTCCAGCCGGCGTGGGCGGCCAGCCCCCTCAGCAGCATGCACGCACGCGACGGCCGAGGGTGAGCTCGGCAAGGCAGCGCGCCGCGGCGTCAGGCCGGCGGGCGCGCAGAACACGCAGGATCGGCCCAAGCAGCCCAGTATGCTGCGGGCGCGGTGCATGCGGCGCACTGCAAGCCCAAGCCTCGGCAGCATTGCGAGGCGGCGTGCGTCGGAGACCTCGGCGTCGGCAGCGTCCTCCTCGCCAAGCAGCGCGGGCAAGCATCGCCAGACGGCGTCGTCGTGGCCACGCGCATATAGCTGGCAAGAAAGGTCGGGCGGGAGGGTGCGCAACAAATAATCAGCATGGCGAGGCACACATGGCAAAAAACAGCCACGCACACTGCAGGTCCGGTAGCATGGCGGGCTCATGCAGTAGCCGCCCCTCCTCGAGTCGAGCAGGGGCGTGTTGGTGTGGGCGGCAACAAAGCGCGGGTGGCGGATGGGAGTGCCCAACCCTACAAACCCATGCTCGGTTTCGTGTGCATCCCCGCGCCACACGCCCGCCCCGAGCTCGGCGATCAGGAGGTGCTGGTCCTCCAGCGCGGTTGCACACCCGGATTTTGCCGAGATTGGCGGCGACGCCTGCTCTCGTCTCGATGGATGTGGTAACGACATCGAGTGACTCGCGTGCCCGAGCGGGTGTAGTGACGAGGTAAACGTCGTCGAGAAAAGCCGCCAAGCCAAGCATTCTCTGGGGCGTAGCTGCGCGTCGGCGGCGGCGACGGCGTCGTGTTGGCCAAGCGCATACAGCGCGGGGGCCAATGTTCGCAGCCTTAACCCTAACGGATGGTGCGTCGCTGGCCTGTGGCATCCCACCAGGACTGCTGCCCGTACCACCTGCGCACAAAGGGTACGAGTGCAGGCACGACGGTGTGATAGGGGTCGGGCGCGGGGCGGGTGGCGCTGGCCTCGGAGTGGCATTTGGCTGAGTGGCATCTTGAAGTGATAGTCCGCAATATTTCCCAAGGCAGGGCAGCAACTGCAAACCCAACGTTCGGTGCCTTGGCTCATGTCCACCTCCCACAGCATGGGCACATTGCACCGCATGCAGGCGGGGGCCGGGCCGGGGACCCGTACGCACTTCCACTGCAGCTCGCTGGACCAATGCATGCAGAGCCACACTGCCGTCCAACTTGCGATGCCGTTGGGCCCGTGGTGCGGCACAGGCGCCCAATGCATCCGGCTGTCTGGCAACTCGACGAAGCCCATGGCGGGTCCGGCGAGCCGGCGGCAGCAAACCGCATGCACATGAGCAGGCTCCGACTCTCAACAACCCTGGAAACGGTGTGCTTCCCACTTCAGCATGCACACTCCAAGAATTGCACAAAATTTGTGGTGCTACACGCAAAGGCTTACGCGGAAATGTCGTCGCATATCGTATTCAATCCTTCGCAACATGCAACAGCTCACGGGGAATGGTTCCCGGGAAGCCAGTCTGTTCCCAACCATTCCGCACGGCATGCGCCGTGCCAGCGTCCAGCAAAATGCACCGCGACAGCATCCTGCCAGAGTGCGACTTCATGGCAACATTTATCGCCGAAAGTCTAACTCAGTCGCAACCCTTGCCGGCCAGGGTCCCTCAGTCACGAAAAATAATCCCAACAATCATCGGAATCGGTTTTCTCAATGTTCTCAGGATAGGATATCGTGCGACATGAGATTCGGATGGGCATTGGTCCGTTGGAGGCCAGGCTGACAAGCTTCTTGCTAACAGGGTGGACCATATCGACCAACAGCTGAAGAACCATACAGTAGTGATCGAATCCGACAAGACGAAAGCAAAGTTGGGCTCCAAGGATGCTACACCACGTTCGCGCACATCAGAGCACAGCCTCTCCGTTGAAAAACAAATCGCGGATCTGCAAATGCCAATTTTTATGGTTTGCGCCTGCACCCCAAGATCGATAAGCCTGAGCCAGCGAAGGTTATGGTCGTGGGTGGTCTTGAATCATTAGCGGACATAGAGTCAGCAACAACGTGAATGACGAACACGTTGGTGCCGATGCGAGGCCCAAGCATCATCAGCACATATAGCAAGTCCGACAAGTTCCACGGTTCGCTCTTTGCTTCCGTCGCAATTCGTGACGCAGCAGTTGCTTTGTTACGCAGTGGTTCCCTGAGATTGGCGACTCGCCGATCTGGGCCACGCAGGATCTACCCGTGCCTGTCCGTGCTCGATTTTTCTCATGGGCCTGAGATGGCAACTTGCACAGTGGGGTTTCGTGAAACAAGATATCAATGACTTGACATGTATGAATATCGGAACGAAACTTGTCATCAAGATTGCCAATGGCGAATCCACCCCGCATTTGGGGTCACGAGACAAGGGCAGAGATTTGGATGCAGTTTCACCCCGAATGGCACAATGCAGCATCCCAAACACAATCTGGAGATGTCGGCAGAAACTGCTCAAGCTCAGCATTGGGTTCTCGCGACGGTACAGTCCAGATCAGTGATCAGTGCATGAGAATGCAACATTGGTATTTTGAACATCGGGGGTTTGACAGACAGTAAGATTGAGGAACTTCAGTGGCACATGCAGCAGCAACACATCACAATTTTGGACCTACAAGAGGCTCATCGTGTGGATACGGCGGGTGTGGGCTTTTTAATCGCGCCGCAAATGCGTCGCAGTATCATTGGATTCAATCAGCATTCTCCACGGTTAGTCACGCTCAAAGTCCGAGTGCGAGGTTGCAAGATGGGGACTTGCAATTCTTACGCTCCACAGTGGCAAACAGGCAATCATCTGTCCAAAGCTTGGGAAAACTTGTGTCCAAAACATCGTGTCACGGTCGTTTGCGAGACATGGATGCTTCTGTGCCCGACGTTGGCGTAAGACTTCTGAGGGTTTCGAGCCTACGAGAATCAACTTGAGAGGCTCCCTGCCTCAGCGTTGCCGGGGCCTGCAACCATTTGCAACCCTTTTAACAACCAGATCGCAACTGGGCAGTCTCCGAACAGCCGCAGCCGCCAGTCTAGTGACCCGGGGCTCTCCTTTAGAGCGCCCAGTGGGCTTAGCATCAATGCTGCCGCAGCACTCCATGCTTACAGCAGCATCTGAAGCTATAAGTTCACCACTTTGGTTGAAGGGAAAAACCTGCTCCGGCTCTCGATCGCGAAATGATCACAGGCCGGTTTCACGAACCCTGTCTGAGAGAGTGCACTCAGAAAGGGAACCAAAATTGCGGATAATGACGTTGGCTCACCAGGTTGTTGGTGATGCATCCCACTACCACTAGGATCACGGTTCCCAGCAATGAAGGTGTCACCACCTAGGTGAGGTTCCAGCCGGCTGAAGCCTAAATGTGGGGCATGTCTTTAAGAGTAGAGCCTGCGCTTTGCAAGCCTTTGCCCAAGTGGCCACTGGCAGTCTTCAGCTCAGAACCCTATGCATCAATACCACCAAGTCATGCCTCCATCTCGTGGCATTAAGGAACATGAACCTAAAGTTGAGGCTTACGGGCTTGTTTCCACCAAGGAGCATAAGCAAATTTGAACTTGTGAAGCACTGGAACGATCACGAAAAGCAGCGCTGTTGCACCACCGGGAGGATGCACGGTGTTGGTCAGCTCCTGGACATGGAAGTGATCAGAATACAGACCACATATTTTAATCATATGAGGATATGAAATACAGACGGTACAGTGTGAGCTATCCCGCTATCCCAAAAAGAGGTACAAGATTTAAGACTACAACGGTCGTAACGAACATCTGGAGCTCTTCTATCTTCGTAGGACCTACACTCATGAAATATTGAGAGGATCCTACCTTCCCCGTTCAAGCTCCTGCAGGGTGATGGTCAGGGCAACTGAAAGAGCACCGCCCAGCCAGATGTATTCGCTCAGGCCTGCGAAGCCCATGAGGTCGTAGACCTTGGAGCTGGCCAAAAAACAAATTCAACAGACATGGCCTGCGCCGCACACAACTGCCTGAGATTGATCCCCCATCCAAATGGGCAGGTTGATTTCCATGCATGTGACCGCATGCAGCCAGGCGCCACACGCAGCCAAGGCACACAAACACCGGTCAAGCC